CAAAGGCACGTTGTTTGACTTCCTCGCAAAATATGCCTATGAGGCGAAAATTCCAGTACCTGAGCTCTTCGTTTGGAACATCTTGGAGAGCCTGGTACACGCGGCTGTGTATCTGCACTATGGTCCGAATGTACTCGAAAAGTTTGAGCAACAGGAGCCTGGGGATGGATGCCTGGAGGTTAGGGAAGACGCCTCTTGGGATGTCGTATATCATCGCGACATCATTCTATCGAACGTCTTCCTCACTTCTAGGTCTGGCGACAAGACTGAGTATCCAATCGTCAAGCTAGGCGACTTTGGCTGCGCCATGCGGCAATCAGAAGTTAGTACTTTGAACCAAGACGAATATCCAAAGGCAGAGGAAACACCGCGTATGGACCCTGCATACGTGCCACCGGAGGGTCAATATGGCACCAAAGCCGTCGATGTGTATCAGATCGGCCGACTAACGTGGTGTGTTGTGCAGAACGTCGTGTCTCCGACCTGTCTGGACGAGAACGCGATGCTGCCTGAGAATTTCGAAATTTCAGAGGATGCGCCTTACTCACGAGAGCTACGCCGCATCCTCTATTCCTGCACGAGGGCCCGCGCTGACCTTCGAATCGATTCTATGTCTCTATTGCGCCTTGTCCGGGATACGAGACAACGATTGATCTCTGAGAACCGCTTACCGTTTGTTGAGCTCTACGTTCCGTTTGTTGAGGTCCTTGCTAAGCTCCTTGGTAGTCAGATGTAATCTACTCAATTCTGTTGTATACGTTCTATGAGCTGCGATAAGGCGGGCCAGGATTTTTGAAAGCGCATGTGGTGACATTTGGAACCAGCTCTTGGTAGGAATGCAGTGAAGTCTGTCAGTTAATGGATAGTCCGATCATCCTTCAGATAAGGCTGGGTATAATCCGAGCAATCAAGATAGCTCAAGCCTCGGGCGTCGTGTTCGGAATATTGGGACCTGATGACCAATTTGGTCCTACTCCGTTTTACCAGATGCCCACTCTTATCATTACGCTCTCTGCCTTTGCGCAATGTATAGTTGTATTACAAATATGCCTTGCTCGCCTTACTCACCATTCCGCTGGCCAAGATCTGGGTTGGCCAATTCGGCGACTGGGGAGGACCGAACTAGTACCGAGCCTGAAATGGATTGCTTGGTAGCATATGAATGATCGCAAGATGTCCCATTCCGGGATACACTGTTCTTTAGGCCCGAAGAACGCGCGTAGGTGGGTAGATGCGCGTGCATCGGCGTTTCTTTCACGTAGATCAGGCGGGCCGCGTGGGTCTGCTCCCCGGACTCCTGCTACCGGCCCGTCGAAGGATTGCATGCCACAAAATCCCGCATCCTCCGCTCTAACATATAGCGCATATCATTCTAGTATGTGTTGTCGCACGTAGTATTGTTGGGGTGCTTTGACTTCTTGTAGATGTCGTAATGAAAGAAAGCATGTTACTTCAACGACCAGGTAGATTGTATCAAGCCAAAGTAAGGGGATGACGAGCCGAGCTGCTCAGACGTCTACACACTTGCATAACACCTTAGTTTGCGAGACGACCGTGAAAGTACGATCTTGGTGGTGGAGAGACCGAAGTTACTCCAGCGAATTGATCTTAGATGGTGGCCTTAGGCAAGCGACGCCGCTGTATCAGCGGGTGGAAGCTTCCTGCCCGTCTCTGATGCGCAGCGATGAGGATTGAAGACCTGCCCTGTGTCGTCGTCGGGTCGTGGCTGGCGTTGCCATGAGTGGGTTCGTTGTTGACGATCGTAATCATAAAAGAGTTGTGAGAGCGTCTACGTCGGGCTTGGAACATCTTCAGGGCTCAGGTTTTCCTTGGCTTTGCTGATCGTGGTATGTGTACATGGGTGTAACAAGTACCGGTGGTGTAAGGCTTACCATCGCCAAGCGTTGCGACGGTCGTTCATTAATCACCATCGCATGTGCGGCGAAAGTGTTAACTAAGGCGACGAACCATGACGCCTACAGCGCCTCTTCCAGAGGTTTAGTCATTCCAGCCTGGCATAACAACCCCGAGTAGAGAGCGCACTGCTGGGCGCCTGAAGATGCTGATCGGAAGCCTCGCTATTGTGTTGTGGATGCGTCTTGGATTGTCGAAACTGTGCTTTTCCAGCATGGCATGTCGAGCCTGAATGAGGTATAAATATCAGGCTGTTTTCCCTTCGAGAGCTCATCATCCAACACGATCCTCAAACGTCAAGCAACTCACTCCCACTTTAACCCCAAACACTCCAACAGTGTGTCTTGTCGATCTTTTGCTTTTGCTTCCAGCTGACCGTGCCTCCCAGAACTTCAAGATGCAGTTCACTCTTACCTCCGTCATTGCCATTGCTGCCGCTTTCACTTCCGCGATCAGCGCCTTCTCCGTTAGCGTAAGTCATATCTTGATGTGAGCCTCAACGAGGCGATCCTCATCATGAATACCAGCTGACTTGTATCTCTCCCTCCAGAACTGCGAGACCGGCCAGTACAAGAACTTCGGAGAAGGTGGTAACAACAAGTGTCAGGGTTTCAACACTGGCAAGAGTGTTGCATTCGACAGCAACAAGGGCCTGTCTCTCCGCGTCTTCGCTTCGACCAACTGCCAGGCTGGTGACGAGATTCTCATTACCGAGCAGAACAAGTGCCAGGAGGTTCCTTTCACCGGACTATCCGTGCTGGCGGAGTAAGGGCGATCGCATACATCTTGGCAAGCAACAAACGCTTTGAGCATTTCGGGGAGCGAAGGAACTTGGAGGCGATGCTATCCAACATAGCGTAGCCGTCCACCGTGTATCTTAGACACCTGCACTCGTCACGTGCCATAAAATCGTTAAAATGTCGATATTGGAAGGTGTCGTGGTCTATCAGTGATTCGCGTGTTGGAGATGTTTATCATCTGGTGCTCTTTGGAGAGGGCGAGTCGGCCGGTTGGCGGACCCCTTCATCGGTGTAGCGGGAACAACGTCGCCGATTTGAGGAACGCGTTAGAAACCTTTGGAAGCAACCTCAGCAATCGATGGGTCGTGGCACCCGCTGAACGCGTGGTGTTGGTGTCGAATGGGATCGTGCTCCGACGATGGCGTTCCTGACAGCTCACCGACACGTGATAGCACGCAACCGCAACATCGTCGGTCCGATTCGTCCGGTTCCTGAACGATTTGTAACGCGAGAATGACGCCACGCAATCCGCTGCTCCAGCGCGACATTTCAACCCCACAACCCTCTTTTCCACCATATAGCCTAACGCGATCTTCTGGCATCCCGCAAGAGGCGCGTCTAGATCACGGTGCTTTGCCTACATCTGCCGAGGTGTCGCAGCCGGGCCCTAGCCTATAGCGTATCTCTATGACGTGGCTATGGATCAATCTCGGACGAGTCCGTCATTGTTTGGCGACATACTCGTGGAAAAGCTTAGAAATGCAAAACTGATGAAGCACTAACGAAACACTTATAGACCGCCATTGATCGCACGCCAAGTTCGCATCTCACTCACAACACACAGCTTCCAAACATCAGTCTTCTTACACTATACTTTTGTCTTTTTTGTTAGATACCCATTTACATTTCCGCAACCATGGCACCAAGAAGATATGAAGCCGAGAAGAAGGACCCTGCTCCTTTGGCAAAGCCTCTCGACTTTGCTTTCTCCAAGAAAACCGCCCAGAACCGATTCCTCAAGGGTGCTATGACCGAGCGTCTGTCATCTTGGGATGCTCAGAACCTTGAAGCTCGTGGTGTTCCTTCCAAGAACCTCGTCAACGTCTACCGACGATGGGGCGAGGGCGAATTCGGCGTCATCCTAACCGGTAACATTATGATCGAATACGACCACCTCGAGGCTGCTGGCAACCCCATCATTCCCCGTGGCTCAAAGTACGAGGGCGAGCGCTTTGAGATGTTCAAGGAGCTTGCGACACAGTCGAAGAAGCACGGCTCTTTGATCGTCGGCCAGGTCAGCCACCCAGGTCGCCAGGTAACCGAGAGCATCCAAAAGAACCCCATCTCCGCGTCCGACGTACAATTAGAGGGCAACGTCATGGGCATGACCTTCGCCAAGCCACGCGCCGCTACCGACGAGGATATCAAGAATGTCATCGAGGGCTTCGCTCACGCCGCTGAGTACCTTGAGAAGGCCGGTTACGACGGTATCCAGCTTCACGGAGCCCACGGCTACCTGCTCGCACAATTCCTCGCCCCAAGCACTAACAAGCGTACCGACAAGTACGGTGGATCTCTCGAGAACCGCGCACGCATCATCACCGAGATCGGCCAGGAAGTACGCAAGCGCACGTCTTCCAACTTCGTCCTTGGCATCAAGCTCAACTCCGTTGAGTTCCAAGACAAGGGTTTCGGCACCGAAGAGGCCGCAACTCTCTGCAAGTTGCTTGAGGACAACAGCTTCGACTTTGTTGAGCTCTCCGGTGGTACCTACGAGCAGCTTGCTTTCGGCCACAAGCGCGAGTCCACCAAGAAGCGTGAAGCTTTCTTCCTCGACTTCGCCGAGAAGATTACACCTTCGCTCTCCAAGACCAGGACCTACGTCACTGGTGGCTTCAAGAGCGCCGCCGCCATGGTCGACGCCCTCAACACCGTCGATGGTGTTGGTCTCGCTCGTCCGGTCACCCAGGAGCCCGAGCTTCCTCGCCAGATCATCAACGGCGAGGTTCACGCCGCGATCAACCAATTGACCGACGACAACGATTTCGGCATCACCAACGTTGCAGCAGGAACACAAATCAGGCAGCTGGGCAAGGACCAACAGCCTATCGACCTGAGCGACGAGAAGAACTTCGAGGCCTTCCAGAAGGACATGGGTACCTGGGCTCAGGGCTTCTCCGACGACAAGACCGGAAGCAAGTACGGTTACGTCGACATTGAGAGCGCAAAGGCGATCCCATACGGCACCGCTGCCCCTGCTTCGTAGATATTTCGCATCAAGAACATGTGTATATAGATGGAACGAATAGAAACGAATGTACGACTGAATACATCAAATCATGATCTTCATACACAGCCCTCCCCCTCCTCCGGCGTAGCAGGTCTATCATAAAACTCATCCTCACTAATCTCCCTAATAACCTCAATCCTCCACCTCTGCGTCTTCGCACCCTCATCCTTCTCTCTCAACACCACCTGCCTCCCATTCTCCCCACCCACATCCATAACCTTCAATGCACCACTCGCTTCATTCCCAATCCACCACGTCCCATCACCCCATTCGCCAACCCTCCAATCAAGCGCACGCGGCGGGTCGTCCGCCCGTCTCAACACCGCTTTCGACGTGTCGTCTGCGTAGACATCGAGGAGTCGATTTGGGCCTAGCCACCATGTGCGGAGGCGGTAAGAGATGGGGGTTGAAGGTGATGGTGAAGGGATGAAAGCCCAGTATTGGCCTGAGTAGTAGCCTTCGCAAGTTAGTTTGAGGAGGCCGGTGCTGTTTTGGGTGCCGTGGTCGTTGACGATGTCGAGGGTGGGGTTGGAGGGGTTGGAAGTGTTTGTTATGCGGTGGAAGTGGGAGGCAGAGAGGGTGGGTTGGGGGTTGGCCATTTGGGGTGGCGGTGTTGGTGGTTGGAATTGTTGAAGGTTGATTGAAACTCTGGAGCTGTGTTTATGATACTTTGTGTGAGTTCATCAGTGAGATTCTTATATCACTACCTTCACGAAGGATTTATCTTTTGTTGAGGAATGATCCCATTTCCGCGTGGCCGGTGAACAGCGATTCCATGTGGCGCATAGCACGAGACTGTCAAAACTGGTAGCCGAACCACCTATCACGATCGCGAAAGGTTGGGAAATGCAGATTCGATTGTAGGCCTGAATCCATGGTTTAGGCAGTGATGAATAAAACCAGGGCAGTACGCCGATCACTTGACCAGCTGATAGTCAGCCACCATGCAGGGGCGCTGCTAGCGACCCTATTACGATGATGTAGAGTTTTGTTGGGATATGCGCAAACTTTGGCAAGTCACGATCAGAAACTGTTGAGGATGAAATGATCGGAAAAGAAGAGGAGACGAAGATGAAGATGATTAAGACAACGGCTGATGACGTCACATCTTCATTGGGAGACATAGTGGCAATTTTGATCACGACAACATGGCCCTCTCCAATTAACATAATGATTCATTAGCATGCCAGAAAATGACTGTGAGAGGGTAACAAGCGGCATTCAGATCATCAATTAAAGTATGCAAATATCGACCAGCACATCCTCGACATCCTGAACAGAGTTCAACACTAATGTTCACTTCTTCTCACCCTTCAACTTTGCAATTCTTCCGCTCTTCCGCGTCCCGATTGTCGGTGGAGCCTTTTGCTTCGCAGGTGTCTTTGTAGGTGTCTTCGCCGCCTTCTCCGTAGTCCTTTCGGGTGGGCTTGGAGCCGCCGAACTTCGTGATTGGCGTTTGGCCGTTACCTGAGGTGATGGCCTTGATCTCGGCGAAGAGGATTGAGCCGCAGCAGCAGACGAGGGGTTGTCGTAGCGGACCGTTGGTGAGGCGGCTACAATAGGTCCTGCTGACGTGGAATATTCGAAGTCGTCTTCGAAGTGCACCCTATCATCATCTTCTTCAACTTCTGGGTCGATCGATGCGGATCTGGATGGTACCTCACTTCGACTGGGCTCAGGAGGTACATCTTGTTCTTCCGCATCCGCTCCCTCGGTCAGTTGCTCTTCCTCATTATCACGCGCTTGTTCGCCCATCGGCGGTATACCCTTCTTAAACAGACGGCGCTCCTCCCTCTCACCCTCAAGCTGTTTGTTAAGCTTGCGTGTCTCCGCAACGCGATACTGTTTGGTGCCTTCCGCAGGGCTAACATGTGGAGACGTGCCCTCTCTTATGGGGGAAAGATGTTGCCCTGGAACTTCACTTTGGGACTTCACAGCCATCGCACTGGGCGGCTGGCGTAACGAAACGGTATTGGGCGGCTTTACGGCGGTCTTCTGCGCATCTGAAGCACGTGCCCTCTCGCGACGCTCACGAATGTCGTTGCCGGTGATGCGCGGTCGAGGTGATTCTTGCACTGGTGAGGTGCCGTCTCTAGAAGCAGGAGAAGTGTAAAGGTCATGACTCTCCTGATCCAGGTCAGGTCTACTCGTACGCGCAGTCTTCGGCCGTGGCGTGTCGACTTGTACATCTATAGAGCCTTCGGCACGACGAGGTGTAGGATTCGATGGACGAAGGATCGGCTGTTCGTCTTCGCCAGAAGGCACATCTTCACTAGAAAGGTCTATGGGGCCCGGGCGTTGTGGCGAAGGCGTATCGTCGCTGCTGTAAGGACCGCCTCGACCACGACGAGGCGTCGGATTCGACGGCCGCGCCAGCGGTGAAGAGGAGTAGTTGTTCAAGAAGCCTAGACTGGATGGACTTCCGTGACTCTCTCTACTCTGTTCCGATGACGGTATCCTGAAGTCCGAGAAGTTGAGATCGATATCGGGAGAAGTGGGCGAGGGCCGCTCTCGTACTGGGCTTATGTGCTTTGCTGTCGGATTGTAGCCTAGCATAGCCATATCCGGCTGGTCATCTTGGTGTATCCCTTCCTCATGAATCAGACTTCCCTCCAGTTGACCTGTGGAAGATGGAGACTGAACTGTGATCTCAGGCACGTCTCCTGCCGCCCCATCGTCTACCCTCCTTCTTACTCTCCTTTCAGCCTCTCTTTCTCTCTCAAATGCTTCGTAATCATCCAAAAGCTTACGTTTAGCCATCCTAAAGGTAGTTTCACCCTCTGATGCAGTCAAATAAGTGCCGATCATCCGATCGACCTCACGGGCAATCTCCTTATAAAGATCCTCTGGCATCTCCTCCATACGTTGCTCTAGGTCAGGCATGATCTGAAGCGTGCGGACGACATGGTAGACCGCCAGCCTGATCCTTTTGCGATTACATTTGTTGTGCTGGAAGAACCAACACAGGCCCGATGCTGCAGCTGCGCCCCCTGTGAGCGCCAGTAAGATGTCGCCGTATCGCTGAAGAAACGATGGTAGTGTGGTCTCGCCAAAGAGGTATTGGGTCAGTGTCTTTGCGACCACATATGGCGGGGGTGTTGGACGAGGCATGTGAAACTGGCCAGGTAGTAACATAGTCGTAGTGTCTGTAATTATCGTAGACTTAGGCAATCGCGTGGCGCGCAAGGTCTGTGACGCTGAAGTGTAGTATCGCCTTCCAGCTGCCATTTGGACTACTTTCACTTTGAAGGTGGGAGCAAACAGTGGATTTGGATAGACTACGCAGGTCCCATTTCGTTGTTCAGAAAGGAAAAGCTGTTCAAACAAGAAGGCTCTCGGTCTTTGTATTAATGACCAAGATGTACTCGCGGCGTCGTTGTTCAAGTTGAGAAGACAATGAACAAAGGACGTAATGATTCGAACAGTGTCGAGAGACCGCGTGCATTCCATGCGGATGACGATGCTGAGTTTCTATATGCTCAAACTAGGGGTTCGGTCGAAGCGGCCAGTTTGAGCATATAGAAGCTCGATCTCGCCATCCGCACCGAACACACGCGTTGGCGTTGGCGGCGTGAAGTGCGTAGTAGTTGCGTGCGAACAAAAAAGGCCCGCTAAACCCATCTGCTAACAGCACCGACGCTATGCGAAAGCTAGCCGACCAAAGATGGGAAGATGTCCGGCTTCATCTTTTGGGGTAGTTAAGCCTCAGTACCGCGGTCGGTAGATTGCGAAAGTGTTGACGGTCAGTCTGCGGGATGTCAGCCATGAACCGTCACCAGATAGGACGTATCTTCTTACCAATCCCTCATCTTTCCACACCTCACCATCTTCACCCGTCTCTGCTATTCATCTCTTCCCATCTCGACTCTCCTCACATCTCTCCATTATCCTAAAACCCCTTAACCCTCCCCACCCCCGTCAGCGGAACCCCAACACCCCTCTCCCTGCCCCCCTGCCCCCTCCCTTGACTCGACTGTCCCCCAAGCCCAATATCGCGCCCATACCCCGAGCCCCCGCCATAAAGCTCGCGACTATCCCAATCCCTTCCTTTAAACGGCCTCGCGTGACCGGATTGTTTAAGCCATTTCGCAAGCAAGACACCGACGGTCGCCCAGGCTGCGGCTATGAGGAGGGCGAAGATGACGAAGTACATCGCGCGTGAGGAGTAGACGGCGACAGGAATGAGAACCTCGGGATGGTTGGTGTCTTGGTATCGATGGCGAGGCGGCGATCGGGGTAGACAGGTAGTTTGTGTCGGATGGTTGAAATCAAAAGGAGGAGGAAGCTTCACGATCAAAGCGTACCTAGGTATAGTGAAGAGAAAGGAAGCTGCGATGCCAACGCAAAAGCGGAGGTCATCGGCTGCACCTACTGGCGGCAGCGCTAAAAGTTGGGGTAAAGATGGGGTAAACAAAGCTTACAGCTTCCTCCTATCCGAAGGCATGGATCGACATTACGGTCTTCCTGGGTGCGCCATTGGCTGCGTGTGACAATATAAACCCCCAAGACTCGCAGTCACCAAACCTAGGTGTTGAGATATGGACATGTTTAGACGTAATAATGCAATGCAAGAAGCGGAATGATGATACATACAGCCTCTTCTATCCACAAGTACAAATGCGCAATCAAAAGGGTATACGCGCACATCCACTGCCCTCAAGCTCGCTGCACAGCAATCAAGCTCCACTACTTCCACTTCCCTCAGCACGCTCCTCCTTCTCAACCTCCTTCGTCCTCTTAAACCTCTCCTCCGCCGCCTTCGCAAGCACCTCCCTCCTACTCAGCCCACCCGTCGCACCACCACTACTATTACCACTCTCACCGACCTTCCCCTCCCCACCACCAGCACTCCCCAGCGTAAACTCACCCCCAGTCCACCCCCCATGATCATGCACCTCCCCCGCCCCCTCATCCCCTGGATTATAAAACTCGTCGTTCCCCACACTCCTCCCGCCACTCTTCCAATCATCCCTCGCAACCTCGCGTTCAATCTGCTTGCACAAGTTCCAGAAGTTGCGGTCGTGAGGGCCCCAGACATTATGCGCCAGCTCATGGCACAGCGTGTTCCTTATCGTCTTGTAATCGCGGTACCCGTCGTAAGCATCTGTGCGGAGCCGCAACTCGATGACCTCGCCTTGGTTGCGGTTGAGGCCCAGTGTCCGACTTTCCATTGTAGTGTGCATGGCTGGATCCATCTCCGTAAGCAGCGGAACACTAAACTTGTGCGTGCGCATTGCTGCTTTGATCCCCGCGTCGTCTCGAAGCCGTTGGAGGAAGCGTAACGAACGATCTGGATTCGGTAGATATGGCAGCGGCCGTAGTGTGTGGAACGTGTATTGCGCCTCCTCTTGTATCTTCCTGTAATCGCGGTTGCGCGCTGGCAGGGCGGCTTTGATGGGACCGGGGCGCCGGGGCGCGGAGGCGGCAGATATGGTGTTGTTGAGGGAGGAGACGGCTTCGGTGGTGCTGCCCATGAGGGTTGTCTTCTTGCCGACGAGCTCAGTGAGTGGTAACGAGGCGTTCTTGAAGGGTGGTTTTTGGAGTCCGATCTTGCCGCCTACGAGGAACTTTTGGTTGGAGGGCGGTATTGACAGGTCATTTGCAACGCGTTCGGAGAGGTCGGAGATTGTGGCATCTTGGGCGAAGGATAGTGTGATTGCTTTGCCGTGGTGGGTGAGAGTTATTTCGATGTCGGAGCTGGAGGGCGGAGGCGCAGGCGTGATGTCGGCTTCTGTCATTGTGGAAGCGTTGTAGGTGGTGGCGAGAGGATGTTCAGGCGGTGCGGACGGTTGGATGATTTCTAGGCGCGATCTAGTATACAAAGTAAGTGACGAGGTTAGTGGTGATTAAGATATAAAGCTTCGCAGCATGTGGCCGAGCTCTAGCCATGCGTGGTTTCGGTGACGTTCTGCAAGGCTTCCACGAGATGACGGGGTCGCCATCGGAATTTGTCATCACTAAACTCCGATGCTCAGCCATGCTGTTGACTATTCACCACCATCGCCATCGGGCCGTTGAGCACACTGCCACACTCGTAGATCTTGGTAACCAGGGAATCTCACTCGCTTGTTCCCGTGCTCACTGATCAATAATCGTTACATCTGCTACTTAAATTCAACGTCGCCGGGTATCAATAAAGCGTGTACTAGAAACATACGCTGGCAATGCCTGGGCTATAACCCAGTATAAGCCATCGACACCACCTGCATTACGGCCAGCTGGAATACTAATCCAGTTTTGACTCTTCCTCCACCTTCTTCTTCTCCTCTTCTTCTTTCTTCTTGCGCTCTTCCTCCTCCTTCTTTAGTGTCTCCTCATTCTTCACCCATTCTTTGACATCAGGATCCCATCGGTGTCTACGCGTCGTTAGTTATGACCTGTCCATGCGTGAGAGTGACTCCGCTTACCCATGAAAGTTCGTTTCTATCAGTGCCTTCTCCTTGTACTCGTCCACGAGTATCTTGTCGTAGTTGTACGGCACCTTCGCCGGAACGCCCTCGAACATAGTCTCCCGCATGGGATACAGCTCCGAGGTGTCATACCGGTGGTAGTTCTTGCAAACCCACTGCCCCGGGTTCTTGTCTGGATGTGTCTCGCTCAATCCGGTGATGTCAATGAACAGGCCGTTGCGCAGGTCGATCCATCGCGCATCGATAATGTTCATGCCATCGCCACGCTCGCGCTCCCAGATCCACGGGTTGACGTCGAGGAGATATTCGCGCTGGACGGCACCATCGTAGGAAGTGTAGTGGTATCGAGTCTGGTTGTGTACTGCGCCGAGGTGTTGGAGTGTGCTGTCGGACACCTGAGTGTCTAGATCGAAGTCCCATGGAAGACGCTGCAGAGGCGTTAGCACGTATCGCACACAGCTGGAAGCAAGACTCACCTTTCCATTCCACCACCAACCGAGCAACGTCCCGTGTGCTATCCAGGTATCCAGTTCGTTTTCGCGGAAGAAGTTCAGGTAGGCGCGGACCATGTGCGATTGCGTATCCGTTCGCTCCTCGTCGGAGACGATGCCCTTGAAAAAGCGCTTGTCATAGTGGCCGAGCGTAATACTGCCTCTGGAGGGGTGTCAGCGAACATGCTACAGGCTGCAATGACATCGCGAGTTGCAAGGTCATGATGACTTACCCGGGCTCATGAAAGTACTTGGTATCAGGCTTCTTCTTACCTTTCCTGCTTTCAATACGATCGGCCAAGTTGTCTCCTCCTTGATGTCGGTTGAGTGGCGTCGGTGTGGCTAGTGAAGAGGCGAAGAGTGTCGCGGTTGCAAAGGCGGCAGCGCATTTCAGTAACCGCATGGCTGAGGCGAGGACTCCACTTCAGGCTTCCAATCCAGATAGGTATACCGTCTCAAAGACAACGAGACGAAAGGGCGCCAACAGTAACGAACACTTGCCGTATGATGTTATTATGATCGTCCAAAACTCCAAGGTAGAACCGAACAAAGGTAAGCGCAGCGTTTCGGGAAGGTGATCGCGTGCTCAAAGTTCAGCGATCGACAGCGGTGGGGCAGGGAAGGCGCGTATAACGTCAGTGAAGAAGAAGCAACCGCAGGCGGGACAGAGAAGATAAGAGAAGCGCAATGGGGGCCAACCATGGGGTCACAGCGTGCGGGAGGGGAGTCAAAAGGCTTCATGACGCGCACGCGACAGGTTGCCAGCCTGAGCCTGTGCCTGGTGCCGCCCACTTGCTCCTCCACAGTAGCCTTGTGCTACGTAAACTCATTCGCGCTCCCATTCCCCTTGCTGGTTACAGGTGTGCCGGTTTTCCGGGGTATCATGGGTATTTGGCGAGCTTGACAGGAGACGTCGTCCAGTGACACGCGGCGTTGCGTGGTTAAGCTTTCCAAGATTTGGTTTGGGTCGGGTTTCGGATGGCGGCTGCAGTTTGCCGGCCGTTGTCGCCGTTGGTATGGCGTGGCGGCGGCAGCTGTGGCTGGTGAGTCTGCGCCGAACAAATCAGATGGCCCGACGTCTCCATTTCACGATGATCTTTCGTCACTGTCCTTTCTGAGAACTGAAGTCGTCATGCAGGGCCTGCGTATGCCAATAATGAAGTCGCATGCGCAGTTACTGGAAGCGGGAAAGCATTCTTCACTAGGCGCCTTTACACAGGTGGCCTCGTCAGCATCTGCGCTTTAAATACGAATGTACGAATCCTTCGCGAACTACCTGCAGACATGGATAAACATAGTTCCTTAGGCTCGTACAACGTTCTACCAACGCGTACATGTTTGACGCCACAGTTTCGTAGACGCGTACAATTTCCCTACGTGCGAGGATACATGGTCCGGAAGTGCGGTTCGCCAATCTGCTTTACCCCGAAATGCAAGGCTGCGGTACGATATAAATTGAGATGACCCACGGACCATCCTGTATGACTATAATAGCAGACTGTGCCGCTCTGAGTACAGAGTAGGCTATGGTTATACTTCCATCGTCATACTCACAGTCACTTGCAACATATTCAGCGCAAGATGGCAGACTATGCACGCATGTGTAGTATTACATTTCCAGACTTTTCGCTATGCCTACAGCAACTCGCTGACCCTTGAGCAAACGCTGGACCCATTCGAACCTTTGTACGCCGTGAGATTGTATAACATCCGTCTATGAGACGTCCATCGCTTCCGCGCCGTTGGGGATCGCAAAGGAGACGGCGCCCGCATCGCCGATTAAACGCTGTTCCGAGTCGGAGACGAACTATTCGTGGTGTTAGCAAGGTTTGATAGCTGGTAGTATGAGAACTTACCTTGACACTTCTTGTGGGATCGTAGAAGAGGGCAAAGCTTCGCTGCACGTCTTCGATGGTGACCTCTGGCCCATTTCTCTTCTTGCGTATTAGGTCGGAGGTCGTGATCAGGTTGCTTGCGTATCGCAATCCAGTCTCCTGGCCAATCTTTGTGAGCAGCGCCAAAGCATCTGGAGACACATCGACCTCCTCCTCTTGCGCTCGTATCGAGATGATCTGCTGCATCTCCTCCGCGTTGTATGCGTGGGTACTGACAATGACCACGCGGTCTAAGAAGTCGAGCGGCAGTCCGTGCGGTGACCTGTAGTCTGTTCCCCGTATCTGTGTGTTTCCTCTGTTGCTAGCCATGATGACAATCGGTGCCAGCTCATCCTCGAGCGCGCGGTTAACAAACGAGAAGCATTCAATGTCGAGCATGTGGACCTCGTCGATGAACAGCACACCCGGCACGATGGTCGCCTTGCCCTCCTCTTTCCACTCTGCGACCTTGGTGTTGATCTGGTCTCGCACCTCGCTGCGGATCTCGCCTGTGTCACCAGAGAAGAGCGCTAAGAAGCCCTGGGTCCGCGAGTTGATCACATCAATCTCGTGCAAGCTGACCGTGTGTACCACCTCGCGCCGTTGTTGCAGCTCGCCTTCGGGACACTGTACGAATTTGGTGTCGATTCCCATTGCGTCGTAGTCTCGGGAGCGCGTGTACGAGCGGCCGAGCTTGGTAATCTTGCCCGAGGCCTTGTCGATGGAGATGATGTCGCCAGCCATGACCTTTTCCTTGGTCATTGCGTCGATCATCTTGGTGCCCATGTCGTAGACGGTCTCCATGTCGGTCGTCTTGATGGTGAGTTTACCCTGCTTGTTGCTCTACTCACAGTCAGTATCGCCTCGTCGCGCAATCAACCTCGTACTCACGCCTGTGACGCTGCGGTCAATCTGTATCTCGACCACCTCGCCCTCAATGACCTCGCTCTCCTCTGTTATCCGCACGCCAATCGACTTTCGGAAGGCCTGTGTGAGCGCCTCGGTCTTGGACATCTCCAGCGAGAAGATCTCCGACGAGGCGAGCATGGTAAAGGGCACGTCGGGGCCCAGCGACTGCGCCATCCCCATTGCGATGGCCGTCTTTCCTGTGCTGGGCGGGCCTGCAATCAGGACTGCGCGACCGGCAATCTTGCCATCTCGTGCCATCTTCAGTATCACGGCTGCCGCCTTGCGTGCCTTCTCCTGGCCGACGAGGCCCTGCGACGACACCTTGGGCTCGAGCGTGTCATCATCGACGCCGAGACCGCGAATGTGAGAATGCGCCGCGATGAGATTGAGGCCGCGGAGCTCCTTGCTCTCGGCGATGGTGGTAATGGGCTGCGTGTTGTTAGTCACATGATTTCCAAGTCACGTCCCTCACTTACCATGGCCATGATGATGTGCGGTGTGGTAATTTAGGCGGCGGTATGCGACAGCGACATTTCGCGGACGCGCAGAGGAAGCTCCAGTTACGACGCACGGGCCCGCTTATCGGCCGTTTGCTATTTAGTTCCATTGGGCGCGTCGACGCGACTGCCCCCTCGACCCTTGGAACGACCGCATCCCCGACCTATCACTTGCCAGCTGGCCATAATCCCAAAGGCAGCTAGCAAATTCCCTGCGCACTATTTAAACTCTCGAATTTTCTTTCTTTGTCCTGTTTCTCCTTTTCCTCCATCCATCGCGCTGCTCCTGCCCTCAATCTCATTGGTTGCGTGCAGTAGCGGCTCCCGCGCTCGACCCTCTCACCTCACCTCGTACACCGCGAGATGTCTGGCCGGCCCCAAGTCCCCAGCATCTCAACAAGTGCTGGTAATCGCGCCTTCACTGACAGGTATGTTGTTCCCTGCCCCACACTCCCACCCCTCTACGCAGTCTTGCCACTGCTCCTCACACCTGCGGTCCGTCATTCTAGCTCAGAAGACAAAAAGCAAGCACTTGAGCTGGCTATCTTCATTACCCCACCAAGAGTGCACTCCGCATGGCGCTTTGAAATTCCAGACATCAGGCTCTCGCCGTCTTATCTCCTGCGTTTGCTATCTGAGACACGCTACGATGAAGCTCGCGTTCTCTCAGTCGACTCAAAATCCCAAGATAGTCCTGGAGGCATATTATCATGTATTAAAGCTACAACAACCCACTGTCTCTAACTCCAGGACATATTTTGGTATTTGGGGGACGACGTAGCAACACGAACTTCATCGTAGGGGGACCGTGCAGAGGCACATTCACCTGCTAAGACCCCAGTCCGGTATAGTGTATATACTAACATATGGTATAGTCCACGTACTCAAATCCCAACTGCATACTCGCCCGCGCTCAGCGATTCAATGAGCTCGCGCGTTTGGAAACGTCCGCTGGAGCCTCAAGCCCGTGGCGAGAGCCCTCCAGACAAGCGAAGTCGTCCGCCAGACTCGCGGTCGGCGTTACAAGATAGGGTCAGATAAAATTTCCTCCCTCTGATGATGTATGCTGACACAGAATAGTACGCCAACTCAGCAGTCTCCAGGATCCCGAGCCCTCCACCATCTAGAAAAAGCTCTTTTGCTGGATTAACCAATGTACCTACCGGCCCAAGACTAGCTTCTGACTACCGTAGGCCGCGTCAGAATGTGCGAGTTCTATCACCTAGTAGTTTAAGCAGTGGAGCATCGACGCCTACACATCATGCCCCTCCTGCGCCTTCAATGCTGCCAACACCAGATCCAGGCGTTCTTCAACAACAGGATGTAACTAGTGCTACCACGAGCAACTCTCCATTCACCATGCAATCTTTACGCAAGCTGAAAGATAGGAAGAGAGCTCTTGCGCAGCAGACTACCATCACTGTCAGCACGTCCGTTGATGTTAAGCTCAAGACTCAGGCATTGGACATTGCGAACCTTAAGAAGGAGCGTGATGATATCAAGAAGGAGCTACTTGAAATCAACAAGGCGCGAGAGGAGGAGCATAATGATCTCGCGCTCAGGCTGGTACAGGTGGAGGGATTGTCTACTCGCGTTGATAGCCTCACGAACAAAACAGAGACCCTCAACATTGTAAACGCCGCGGCCAAGCCTCTAGCAACCCGATTAGAAGCATTAGAGCTTTCGGCTGCCGAACTTCCAAGCTTACGACAGGAGTTGCAGGACCTGAAAACTGTGCCAGAACGCTTAGCTGCAGTAGAGAGCAAGCGAACTACTCATCAGGCGGGACCAGAGTCGAACGGTTCTGACACCCTCGGGGAATCGCAGCTGAAGCCGCTATCCGACAGGCTCGATGGTCTTAGAACTACCTCTTCACAGCAGGCGAATCTTATCACGGAGCTGAAGATGGCGACAGCACTACAGAAGACTGAAGTTGAAAGTCTGAAGACGTGGAAAAACGCGCAGCCTACACCACTATCCGAACACACTGTCAGAGAGCTTATCACGGCCGAGACCAGAGCAACAGCCAAGAACCTAAACGACAAAATCAAGGATGTGAACAGCCAGCTTTCCGAACGCATCACCAACCACCAGGACGTGATTCTCAGCCTCCAGACTTTCAAGGAGACCGTTGAGAGTAAGAACTTCTCTGATCAACTCAACGCTTTGAGCGACAAGATCAAAGCAGTTGAGACAAACGACGACAAGACGTACGCAAAGGCCGGCCGTCTGCAGAAGAGAATCGAGGACATAGAAGACGAGCTCAGCCCAGATGGTGTCAACAGACTGAAAGATGTGGTAGAGAAGGTAGAGAAGCTCAAGAACAGGGTGGATAAATATCGTGATGATCTTGTCGAGGACCGGGAAGAGGCCGAGGCTATGCACAAGGACCTGAAGGATGCGGAAGAGGATCTCAGAACCCTTCGGGACAAGTACGACGATCTTTTGAACGAAATTGATACGTACATTGGACCTATCAAGAACGACTACAAGAAGACAAACCTCACCCTGTCTCAAAGGGTTGCGAACTTGCAGAGCAATGTTACCCAAGCTGAGTTGGGAAGGCTCCCTACTCGCCTCAGCGAGCTGGAGAAAACTGCACGTCTTACAGAGAAGCTTCCGGGTCGCGTCGATGAACTAGAAAAGGCTGCACGAGGCCCTCACTTTAAGAAAGTTGGGACAACTGTTGCGCCTTCTTCTCCTGCTCCAATCACTCCACCGGTGACCAATGCAGATACAGAGGTACCGCTGCTCAAGGAATCACTGCAGAAGCTTCGCAAAATTGTTGACGGCACCGGTGGCCTGACGACCCAGACTAAGACAATCTTCGAGCGACTGAACAACATGGAAGCCACTCTGGCTAGTGCGCGGCCGCTCGACAGCGTCGAACAGAGTGTGGAGACATCGGACACGATCATGGATAAGACCTCAGTCAAGACGCTGGAAAAGGCGGCGGAAAAGAAGGTCAAAGCTCTGATAACGAGCGAGCGCAAGGCTATCGAAAGGGATGTCGACGAAGTGAACGCCCGCCTCTCTCAAGAGATTAAGGATCTTCGCAAACTGACGGAAACTCGTATGGGAGAGATGCAAGCTCTCCGCAATCGATCGCGTGAACCCGATTTCGCGGCGTCGTCAGCTGATGTGAGGACAGCGCCTTCCGAAATGAGCGATCTCAACCGCATCACAGGGGATATTGAAACGCTGTTCAACGAACTCGACACTACCAATGCCACTATCTCGGCTGTACAGGAGGTCGCACCCACCCTCTTCAACGAACAATTCGACCCACTCAAGCGCAAGGTTGAAGAGCAGCTCAGTACCGTCACTGCTACAATGGAAACCCACGCCCGCAATCTATCAGCTTTGATGGAACAAGTATCAAAGTCGCCTACACAGCAGAATGGCTTCGGCCCAGCGCAACAAGATCGGCTCAATACCATGTCGACAGAAGTAGCGTCGTTGAAGACGGGTTTGGAAACTCTGCGATCGTCTCTGTCGACCAAGGCCGACTCTGCATCGGTGGACAGAGAGCTGGATAGTTTCACCTCCGCAATACGCAACATGGAGAGCCGATACGAGAACATCAGCACCGACACCTTGTATCAGGGCATGGTCCGCTGGTTTACCGAAATGTACCCCGGTCTGCCACGACTCCAGGAAGACATCCACCAAATGCAGAGATGGATACAGGGTCGCGCGAACCTTCTCGACCGCCTAGACCAGGACGCTACTCAACTGCATAATCTTGTGAACATCGCTCCGCACTTGCACGAAATTGCCAACATGAGTCCGCAGTTGAAACAAGTGGCCACCGATGCTGCTCAACTCCAGTCGGCTATCCAGGCTCATGGCGAGATGGCGGGTGCGTTGACAAAAATTGATCAAGCTAGCTCTAATGCCAGCCTGGCAATCTCCAAGGCTGAGGAGGCAATGCGTGCAGCTAGTAAGGCCGAGCAAGCCAGCTCTGATGCACAAACCGCAAGCGACAAGGCCGATCAAGCCAGCTCTGATGCAAGCGCCGCGAGCGACAAGGCTGAGGAGGCCATGCGTGCAGCTAGCAAGGCCGAGCAATCCAGCTCTGACGCAAGAAGCGCGAGCGACAAGGCTGAGGAGGTTATGCGTGCAGCTAGCAAGGCCGAGCAAGCCAGCTCTGACGCAAAAGCCGCGAGCGACAAGGCCGAGCAAGCCAGCTCTGATGCAAAAATCGCGAGTGATAGGGCCGACCAGATTGAGCAACAGCTTAATGAGCAGATCAAGACGATCGAGAACATCAAGGGCTCAGTGTCTGGATTACAAATTTCTTTGCGGAATCTGCACTCGGCCACATCTCCCTTCGTCAAAGCGGAGGCTCTTGACGCCCTGCAGGCAACTGTCAAGACACTGCAGACCCAAATAGGTCAAGAAAAGCAAGAACGCTTGACCAGCACAGGAGAGCTTCGCACTGCCATCGACGCTGAACGTACCACACGCGTTGACGAGCAGGCTAAGACCAGAAAGTCCATCCAAGACCTGAGGCAAGCGATCGATGTGGGCAAGATCAGGAAGTCTATTCAAGACCTGAAGCAAGCAATGGATGTGGACAGGGCCACTTTCGCAAAAGCTGACGTAGTGACTGCATTGGAGGGTACACTGCGAGCCTTCCAATCCGAGATCAGCGACACTCAAACGGCGAATTCCGAGGCCATTCAAAACCTGCGTTCAGCATTCGACACCGACTGCAGCAAGCGCGACACTACGGAGGGAAATCTCCAAAAGTCCATTAAGGAGCTGTCTCAGACACCTGCCCGAGCGCCTACCCCAGACAATGTTCCCTTCGACAACTTCAAGCGTGTCGTGGTGGGCAAGCTTGCCTCTGAGAAGAAAGCACGTACAGAATTCGAGGAGAACTTGAAATCATCTTTCGGCATGGTTGAGGGCAAGATCACAGCTCTACGGCAGGATACAGCGAAGTACAACAACGAGGTGAAACGAGTCTCAAGTGACCATGACACCGCAAAGCAAGGGATCTATGACCAGCTCGCCGACATCAACACGGCGGCCGCCGAGTTGCGAGAAGCTTACGACAACACGGTCAAGACGTACATTGAGCCCAACAGCGAGTTCTTCGGCTTGATCGGTACAGCTTTCGTAGTCCTCTCGCAACTCCAACAAGTCGTTGAGAGCCTGAATCAGAACCTCCCAGTCGCTCCGTTGAGATTGGAATGGGACTACTACCTCCCCAGCCATGGCCAGCCCTCTACCAACGGCGAACCCAGCAACTCCAAAGGAAAGGGCAAGAGCAAGCAGTAAGCTGCCCCCTTATCGCTCGACCAACGTACAAAGTCCGACAACATTCTTTTCTAGGCCCTGGGCCCTTGTCAACCCTTTTACTACTGTGTTACCAACCCCCGGCCCGAACAAAAGTGCGCATCGACCTGGCGTTTTTTACCGGCGGATACTGTGAGCATTTTCATGCATGATACCCCCCCTATAGCCTGTGGCGGCTCATTTCTTTGTGTCTACTCATTGCGTATTTGCAAGTCTGATGAAGTGTTTCCCTGCCTTCTCTTTCTTAGCGGTGCCCAAATACTACTGTGTTTATGTATGTAAGTCCCATTCAATTTGGGCGTTTCGATTGTGTAAAAGTCCTAGTTATCTAGGCATTTTGGTGGATATGCGGGTTTGATGTTAGGTCGTGAACCTGATCGGATGTGTGGAAGGTGGGGATGATGGAGATTATGATGGAGAGAGGTGGCGGTGGATGTGGAAAAGGACAGGATTTGGCGTTTGTAGTGGTAATGCGAGTGTACGATAAAATGCGGAAAGGTTTAAGATTGTCGTGCCGATGTTGGAAATAATCTCGTTCCATCCTTTGTCGCATCCAGTATGATGATGTATCTCTCACCATGTCGTGTACTGTGTCAAGAAAAAAACGTGTGCAGCGTAGTCAATACAACTGAGCAAGAACGCAGCACCTTCCCATGCTTTATGTATAATGCTGTGCGCCAGGGCCGTCCCTTGGTACAAATCTTATCCAACCTTGGAACGGAATGGCCTCAAGCCACGGGAAGGGCACCCCTTATCCAAGGTATACCCCTTGCAACCCACACACGTACACACGGTACATAATTTCACTAGCTCCGCAAGATAAGTGTTTTCGGTACGTGCCTGTTTACAGCTCTTTAAGAACTCGCTACTTTCATTTCAGCATGCGCCAGGACCGGAGGTAAGAAAAACGCGCTAGTTAACCCCGCCAAAAGTTTCGCGTCAAGATACCTCGGGAGCTCCAACACTGCGACACGAAAAGTCAAGACACGCGCACGCTCACCGACCCTCGTCATGGCCCCGATGTCTACACAAACAGACCGCACAGTCTCCGCGACCGCCGATCCAAACACCTCAACATCTCCAAACGCGCCCGTCCCCAACAACGCAGACACGAGCATACCCTCCGCACCTCCCACCCCAACCACCAAAAAGCGCAAACGCAACGCCAACCCCACCGAAAAGCCCACCCACATCCTCCACCAAACCACGTTCCGAAAAACCAGCTGGAGCTACTTCCACCTCATCCTCCTCACACCAGGAACCGCTTCTTTACCTCCCTCCACCACCACCACCACCCCTCACCCCACAACCCCCAATACTCATCCCACACCCTCCCCCTCCCTCTCCCCCCTCCTAACCTCCACCCTCCTCACCGCCCCCCTGCGCGCCTACCTCGGTACCACGGGCACCGCGATCCCCATCGACACACTCAAGATACATGGACGGGAAGTGTGGGTGCGGATTCCGCGGCAGGATGCGCGTGGGTTCCGGGCGAGTTTGAGTGGGTGGGTGGGGAGTTGTGAGGGGGATGAGGTGCCTGGGGTTGAACAAGGGGTGGGACAGGGGAATAATGGGAAGGGGCAAGGGCAAGGACAGGGGAGGGTGGGTGTGGCGTGGAGGGTTGTGGGGGAGGGGGGCGTGTTGGGGTGTTTGGGTGAGGATGGAGGGGATTTGTTTGGGTGAAGGGTATGTGAGGATGATGGTATATACGAGTTGGATGGGCATGGTGGTGCGCGGCGATGGCTATGTGAGAAGATGTACGCATAGCCAGGGGGGAAGAGGGCGAACAGCGCGGTTGACAAGGAAAAGAGACCTGTCGGATTGTCAATCCTCGATACGACACCGAGACGCGCAGTCACCAGCCCTCGTACCAGCCAAGCGAGGGAAAACGACGTAGGAAGACGAAGGCCACGATCGATTATCGAGATTACGACCAGACCTACCCATCAAGATAAGACCTCGATGCCAAAGAGCCACGGGACACGGCTATGCCAGATCACCAAGACAACACAAGGCAGAACTGTGGAAGAGAACAAAGATTATTCAATCTACACAGTTCAGAAAGGTATCTCTAGCAAGGCCAAGACACGATGTTTAAAACACTGAACATCGTCCGTTCCTCTCTCATCGCCATACCGCTATACCGCAATCTACATAAGACCCGTGTATCCTTTATCCAAGTACCGCGCAACGATTCGGCCGATCGAGTGCGATAGCTTTACTGCCAACCCGGCTGGGGAGTGTGGTGGCTCGGCGGGCCTCCGTACCCAGCCTGATGGCCACCAGGTGGAGGAGGATACTGTTGGCCGCCTCCGTATTGGTTGGCGTGCGTGGGAGCACCGCCGTACTGGTTGTGCTGGTGGTTATCGTAGTTTGCGGCGCCGCCGTAGGGACCGGTTGGCGCGCCGTATGCCGGACCTCCGTAGCCAGCTAGATGAATGTTAGTTCTCACGTGTCTTTGCCCACGTGGGTATCTTGTTCATACCTTGTTGTCCGTAGCCGCCTGGTGGGCCACCCGCTGGTGGTCCTTGACCGTAGCCTGGTGCTGGCCCACCGTATCCTGATTGTCCACCGAATCCAGCTTGCGAGCCGTAGCTTTGGTGCTGGCCGTGCTGGCCGTGCTGCTGCTGCTGGGGCGGAGAGTGTTGTCCGCCGTAGCCTCCGTGGGCTTGACCCTGACCGTATTGTTGTCCAGGACCAGGAGATGAATAACCGTGGCTTGGAGCGCCGCCGCCGTATTGGCCGCCTTGAGCGTTGGGGTTGTAGGAAGTTGGCGGCGCGGTGCCGGTGTAGGTGCCGCCTGACGAGGCACCGGAGTAGCCGTAGTCGCCGTTGTTGGGCTTGTTGTGCTAGATGTTGTCAGCGCGTTTCTCTGAGTCGAGGCTTATGTCCATACCGATGATCCTCCACCAAGCACGCTTCCAAGCATGCCTCCAAGACCACCACCGCCGCTCGATGCGTGGCCAGCGCTGCCGCCATGTTGACCTCCAGAACTTCCATGCTGCTTCCCACCACCTAGCAGGCCACTAGCAAGCTGTCCAACAAGCTGTCCCGCACCACCACCACCAGAGTGACCCCCAGAAGAACCACCATGTTGTTTTCCACCTCCAAGGAACGATCCAGCGAGTTGACCGACGAGGTTTCCCGAGCCACCGCCGCCATGTCCACTATTACTCTGCTTGTTGCCCATGAGCGCGTTCATCGCAAAGCCCTATCTCCATTGTCAGCCAGCGCCCGATTGATGCCCAAGTAGCATATCGCGTACACCCAATCCACCTGCCCTGTCGCCAGTCGGGCCGTCGCCCATGCCTCTTTGTCCGTCGCCTGCATCGGGGCCTGAGGTGCCGGGGACGTTGTATGGGTTCGTCTGTTGCGCGGGTGTGCTGTGGGACGAGGAGCCGCCGACGGGCGCTTCGCTCGTGGGCAGTTCCCATTGCGAGACGCCGGTGCTGATCTGGACATCTATCGCCGTGGTGTCAGTATGTTTTGCTTCGTTCGCGGGTCGAGGCGTGGTTGGAGAGATAAATCGCGCGATGATGCGGCCAAGGCTACATACAGTAATACTTTCGGGATCTGTGGTCTATGTCAGTTTCGTGTCGCGGGGCATGCGGTGCGGAGGCGGGGCAGCCAGCGTGTCTTCTGTTATGCTTGGGAGGGAGACGTACGAGTTATCCCACTGCGCTATCCAGCCAGCGGGCAGCTTGGGGAGCGTAGGGTCGGTAGGGCCCGAGTCTGGCGAGACAGGCGGGATGGGAGGTGTGGGTACCGCCATGTCGTTGGTGTGGAGAGCAGGGGATGGCGGGGTACGAAGGGGGGATGCGATAGGAAGGGAGGAGGAAGAATATAAGAGAGATTCAGTATAGGAAGAGAGGCGGCCGGAAATATCAACACATCGCAGCCAGCGGTTATATGACAGGAGTGCGAGCAGCAATGGGCGGGTAGTCCTTGTTAGCGGTCATGGTGGGGATTGGCCAGGATGCTGGGACGCTCTGCGAGGCTGTGCACTTGCGCAGTCACTCGAGTGACGCATGTCTCGCGCGCAATTGTGTTTCTTCAGCTGCCTTGCATCGCTGCTGTCACAAACAAGCTAATCACATTCACACGGCAAACCCGATGATCGCTTGGCATGGCTGGCTTCTACATGTGGCTGAGACAGCTGCCAAACGGTTCCCAGAGCCCGACCTTTGCGCCCGATGCAACCCAATACTAACACACGGATATCTGAATAACCAACCACATAAACGCCTCCCCAATGCATAGTTCCTGTCTTGATCCGAGCATGAATCCCAAAGCCCGACGCCTGTCATATCTGTACAAGACGTCATACCCGCACCTGAAACCCAAACACCCAAGATTACTCCTTAATGAAAGTGGATCACCACGCATACCCGCCTCCATCGTCATTTTCGTTATCGTTGCCGTTCCACTCCTCATCCCCACTGGGCTCTGCGTCAAGGAAGTCGGCTTCGTTGAAGATTTCCTCGCGTGGTCGGAAGTTGTCGATGCGGAAAATGACGGTATGGCATCGACCTTGCACAAAAGGCTCTTCTTCATCTGAAGTCGCCTCCTCTTCCGAAGCAGCATCTTCGTTGGACTCCTCATCGTAGCTTAGAGCTGCTTTTGAGCGAGAACGAAGACGCTTCGAACCCCAGCCTTCATCCTGCTTCTGCACGCGTGACGGTACCAGAGGAACGTCACTTTCGCTACCATCGGCGTCGTCTGCCATGACCGGATCAGCCTTCTCTGCCATTTCTTCAGAGACGCCTTCAATGAAAGAGTCCACCTTGTCCCCGTCGTCGCCGCGAGCCTTCCATTCTCTAAAGGCTCTGAGAGACGCAAGACTGGGATCAGGTGTTTCCCACTTCCTGGCAAAGACCTTTCTGAACTTGGCAGTCCACTTCTGTCTGAACTCGGCTCTCTGCCGCCAGTCGGTGTCCACCATTGCGATGATAGTGATCTCTTGAAGCCGGGGAAGTTCTTCA